TAAGGACAAATACTGTATATGTCCATAATTGTGAAAATAGAAGGATAGCTAGGATAATACTGAATAGAAGTGCTTATAATAAAAATCTTTGCATGGTCTCTGTTCACGAGCGGAAATGCCTTTAGCCTCTCTCCATTGAAAATGATATTAGTTCTTGTTTTTGCATACATACTTTTCACTATGTTGAAGAAGTTTCCCCCTCTTACCATTTTGTTGAGTGTTTTAATGAGGAAAGGATATTGAATTTTGTCAAAGGCCTTTTTTGCATGAATTGATAGGATCATGTGCTCCTTATTCATTGCTTTATTAATGGAATGGATCATATTATTTTTTCAATCATCCCTCCATGTCTGTTATAAGTCCCACTCAGTCATGATGATTTTTTTATGTATTCGGCTTTTATTGTCAGAATTTTGTTAACAATTTTTTTTCTGCGTTCATGAGGAATATTGGCGTATAGTTTTCTTCTTTGGTGATGTCTTTGCCTAGTCTTGATATTATGGTAGTGCTTGCTTAATGGAATGAATGACTCTGGGACTGTTCCTTCTTTTCCTATTTTTTAAATAACTTACGTACAATTGGTGATAGTTCACCCCTCCATATTTGATAGAACTCAACATTGAAGTCATCTGGATCAGGACTTTTTGAGGAGGGGAAATCTTTATGACCTGCTCAATTTCTTCTTTTGTGATGAGTCTATTAAAATGTTCAATGTCTGTTTGTGTCAATTTTGGTGGAGTGTGAATTTCTAGACATTTGTCTATTTCCTCTAAGTTTTCAAATTTGTCAGATGATAACTTTTCCCAATATTCTGTTATTATCTTTCTAATTTGACTTAGCTCTGTTATAAAATGACCTATTAATTTCTTGCTTGAATTATTTGTTTTTTCTCTTTATTTATTCTTTTTAAATTTGGCAATGGTTTGTCTGTTTATTGACCCTTTCAAAGAACCAACCACTCTTGGTCTTGTTGATGGTTAATTAGTGTTTCTGGGTTTTATACCATTTATTTCAACTCTTAACTTTACAATTTCCTTTCTTCTTCTGTTGTAATAGCTTATTATTTTTTTTTCTATTTTCTGGGGATATTGAGTTAAGTAGTTTATTTTGGCCATCCATGGGATGGATGTTCAGTGCTTTTCTCTAGCACCACAGCTCAAAGGCTTCAATTCTCCTTCTGTAATCTTTATTCATAGTCCAGCTCTCAGATGCATAACAAGTGATTGGAAAGACTTTGGCCTGATCATGATGTACCTTAGTCCTCAAACTGACATCAATACTCCTAAATAATTTTTATATATGGATGGCCAAAAGAACAAACATATATGTCTTGGAGAGGGTGCAGCTGGAGTGTTCTTTGAGGGCAAAAATGATGAGGCTTCACCTCACATACTTCAAGCATGTTGCTGGAGGGGCTATCCCTTGGAAAGGAACATGATGCTTAGAAGGGTGGAGGATCAGCAAGGGAGAGGAAGATCATCAACCAGGTGGATTGATATGGTGACTGCTCAGTGGGGTCTGGTGTTTCAGGAAGTGTGAAGATGGCACAGGGTAGGTAGGACAGGGTTCAGATTTGTTGTTCATAGGGTTGCTATGAGTCATACTCAACTTGATACACCTCACAAGAACAGCAAGAACAGCTTATTGTATTCCTTTATTCTTTTCTTATTGCTATGAAATGCCACTTCCCCCAAAGGGTGCCTTTACTGTGTCCCAGTCATTTGATATTTTCATTTTCATTCATTTTGAGGAACTTATTTATTTCCCTTTTTATTTCTCCTATGATCTAGAAGTGCTCAAGCCAGATGTTATTTATCCTCCATATGATGACTTTTTATCCTCTCTCATCTTGTTATTAATTTCTGGGTTTGTGGCATTATGATCTGAGGAGATACTTTGTATCTTTGTCTTATTTTGGTTTTTTTTAATTTGTTGAGAGTTGGTTTATATCCCAGTACATGATTGTTTCTGGAGAACGTACCACGTGCACTTGAGATAAAACAAAATTGAGTTTTTGTTGAGTGAAGAACCTTGAATACATCTGTGAGGTTGCATTTGCTTCTTGTGTGATTTAGTTCTTCCATGTCTTTGTTCAAATTTTCTTTGAAGTTGACCTGTCCTTTGTTGAGAGTGGCAGGTTAAAGTCTCCTCCTCCTACTATGTTGTTATTCTATCCTCAAGTCCTATGAAGATAAAAAACCCCTCCTTTGTTTTATGAAGTTTGATGTTCTATCATTTAGTGTGTAGATGGTTCCTAGAGATGTGTCCTTTTATTCTGTTGTGATTTCAATCATTAAATAGTGCCCTAGCTTATCTCATACAGTAGTTTTCACTCTAAAGTCTATTTTAGCACAGATTAATATTGTCACGCCTGATTTCTTATTAATATTGTTTGCTTGGTTTAGTTTTACCCACTCTTTTTTAATCTTTCTCTCAGTTTCTTAGATATGTCTCTTGTAGGCAACATATTGATAGGCTTTAGGTTTTGGGTTTTTAAAATCCATTCTGCTACTCTTTTTTCCCCTCTTAATTAGTGCATTTAAGCCATTCACATTGAGTGTGATTATTGATAGGCCAGGTTTTATCATTGCTATTTTGTGGCATTTCTTTTTCGGTTATTGTTGGTTACTTTGGTCCATCTATTTGCCTTTGCTATCTCTCCATGAAGAACATCCTTCAGTATTTCTTGTAAAATTGATCTTGTTTTCAAGAATTCCTTAAGTTCTTGTTTTTCTGCAAATAATCTAATATCTCCTTATATTTGATGGACAGTTTTGCTGGAAACTGGATTCTTGCCTGACTATTGTTTTCTTTTAGCTTTCTGTATATGCCATTCCATTACTTTCTTGCTTGCATGGTTTCTGCTGAGAAGTCAAAGATTAATCTAATTTGTTTCCTTTGTAGATGACTCTTTGCTTTTCTTGCAATACTTTTAATATTCTATTCTTTATTTTTTTAAGAACTTGACTATGAAATGTCTTAATGTTTTTCTTACGAGATATAACCTATTTGGAGTGTGATGAGTTTCTTAATTGTATATTTCCTCATTTTTCATGATACCTAGAATGTTTTCTTCTAATATCTCTTCCACAATTTTCTCAGTGCTCTTTCCTCCCAACATCTGTTTCAGAATTCCAATCTCATGTATTTTGTTGTTGTTTCTTGTCTTCTAGCTCAATGATTATCTGTTCTATCTCTTCTATACTCCCTTTTTATCCCTCCAACCTGTTGAAAATTTCTGCAATATCAATCTTGATATTATGGATTGTAATTTTCACACTTTTGTATTGTTTCTAACACTGTGCTGGTTGTATTCTCTATGTCTGGCAATACTTGTTAACTTCATGCTGCACTTTACTTGTGACTTTGATTCTTCCATCATTTGAAATTTCTTCAAAACTTTTTCTAGGACTTCCACATTGGTATAGTTCCTCTGTATTTCTGTCCCTGGGGTACTCATCAAGTCTATGATTTTGTCTGCTTTTTTTAGGAGAAGGATTGTTCTGTTTTTTCATAAGTTTTGAACCTAACTGCTGTTTCCTTGACATTATGTGAAGTTATTCTTGGTATGTGGGAGGCAAGTTCTGTTGCGTTTGTGTGGGAAACTGCACATTCCTTATCTTTATGACACTTTTGGTAGCTGTGCATAGAGGTGTAGTGTTAAGAAGCTGTGCTGCAATCCCAAAGATATGTGGTTCAAATCCACCAGATGGTCTGTGGGAGAAGAATGAGCAATCTCCTCTCATGCAATTTACTGTCTATGAATAGTTGCTGGAAAGTCAGGTATGGGTTGGTTCCAGCTTAGTGGCAAACAATTCAATTTCATTTCCCAATATGATCTTTAGCTGGTCATCCCTCTATTCTTTGTTAAGGTGGCAAATTTCTCTGGTTATGTGGGTGGTACATGAGATGCCTTTATCTTTGCTGCCAGTCCCTGGGTGCAAGCAGGTGGGTGAGGGCAGAGTGTAATCATAGGTGACCTCAGGAAAGTTTCCTCTCTCTTGTCTGGTTCTGGAAGTCTGGTGGACGGGTCAGGGTGAAGAGGACTCACAGGAGGCCCTAGATGTAATCCTTTCTCTGATAGTTGGTCCCTGGAGTCAGATCAGTAGGCAAGGGACTTTACAGACTCAAGGGCAGCCTGCACAGCTCTTCTCTTTCTTCTGATTAGTCCCCTGGAGATGGATAAGTGAGTGATGCAGTGTAGACTCATAGGTGGCACCCAGGGCGCTCCCCTTTCTGCTGCCTGATCTTAGGAGGTAGGCAGGCTGGTGTGGATAGAGTGAACTTACGAGTGGCCCACATAGCCTCTCTCAAAATGTTTAACAACAACAAATGCGTATGGTGATTTTATGAGGAAAACCATTAAGATGCTGTGGTAGTAGTGCCCTGTGAATAACAAATAACTTGCTACTGACCTTAGACTTAAAGAGAAATGGGAAGAGCTGGTTACCAGAGCCAAAAGATAAAGGTCAAATAAAGAAAGTCTCAGTGAAAATTACTATCATAATAATAAGAATTTAAAAAACGTCACTGTCATTAAGTTAATTCCAATTAATAATGACCTTCCATCAGGTTTCTCACCCTGGAGCTGCTGGGGGAATCCAGTCTTTGGAAATATGCTACCTTCTGGTTAGCTGTGCAAGAAGCTAGGGATTATGCCACCAAAGCTCCCCTTAAACTGACGTAATATGGAGAAAAGGAGAACACTGAATGGTATGACCTCATTCTCCTCCCACCAAAAATATTGCTCAATACTTTCATTGGCTGCAAAGAAAATCAAAGGTTTAGAACATAAGTTGACCTAACCCTGAAAGGTCATCTTCCCCAGCAGACAGAAGAATAGGAAACAATTGCACAGTGGATACTAATATATCCACTATCCCAAATGAACCTAAGAGACTCAATCACAGACACACAGAAAGAAGGATAAATAAAAATTGGCCATTTTCTGCATAGTAGATGATTTACATCCCTTATTATTCCTTATATCGGGCTTTTGCAATAGAATTCTATCCATTTTATAGTTTAAGAAATGAAATTCAGAAGGATTAATAATCTGTTTAAGATTATACACTAGGATGAGATAAGGATAAAATCAAACCCAAAGTTAGTTTACTTGCCCATATTCAGCACACAAGGTACATGCAGCATACATCAGCACTTAAGAACCTAGACTGGGGACAGTCAACTCAACTCAACTCATTGACATCAAATTGAAACTGACTCATATCTGACCTTTCAGTGGGTTTTCAGAGGTTGTAAATTGCATAAGAGGAAGTACATGTTCTTCCATGGAACAGTTGATAAATTCAAATTTGGGGTTTTGTGCATTGAGTTTTATAGCTTAACTCCTTGCCCACTAAGACCACCAGAGCTACCCTGGGATAGAAGAGTAGCATATTGAATTAAAGTTCATCCGCTTATTAGCTTAAACTTTGCTTCATTTCCCTCAGCTGTGCAATAGAGACAATACTTATGTCTCCAGACAGATTTGTTGTAAAATATCTAGAACAATTTCTGGCATAATGTTAAATATTTGTTATAGTCTAAACGTTAGAAAGAGATTAAGAGCCAAGAAATACTTAGACTAGGAAACAAACAAACAAAAATATATAAGCATTGGAGGAAGAGGACAATCTGGAAGTGATACATATATTCATAGTCTGTGAGTTCAACAATGTGACCAAAGGTTAGAGATACTTTGGAATCTAACCTATTGATACCTAAGAAGCAGTGAAACACTCTGATATCTTTTTCTTAAGGCTTTTATACCAGTTTGATTGTGTGTAAGGACATCAACAGGGAACCACTATGACATCACTGTTTTCTTGAGTGTTTTTAGACAAATTTGAAAGTAGATAAGAACATCAATAGAGAAGGTATATCACAGTATGGAGAGCATCACAAAGTGGATACTTGTGCCTTCACACTCCTCACCCCCCAACACTATTTCATTTCACTTCTAGAATTAATTCCTCCACAACTTAAGATAATTTTTGTTACAAGAAATCATTAATTACTTTCTTTTAAAAAACCCACATACAATAGTGTAGCTCTCAAAAATCAAATACATTGCTCTGTAAAATGTCTCAAGAAGAATCCACGGATTATCTGAAGAGATAAGCAGCATGATCTCATAGCCTTTTCTTCACTATCAGATGCCGCTTTAAGCTATCAGGAGAGGAAATGTTACTGTTCCAATGTGAATCAGGGATCAGGGGGAGAAGCACACACTTGACAACTGGAGGGATTGTTAATAAAGTGTACAGGCATATTAGATTGTATCTAAGGGGATGATATGTTAATAATTTTTTCTTAATGAGAGACTTACAATATTCATATTAGCTTCAGGATTTGAGATGCTTGTTTTCTTATTAGAATCACATACAGATCCAAGAAGAAGTATCCAGTATGCTGCTGCTAAAAACTTCCACATTTGAGATCTGAGAAAAGAAATGTTATTTTGTCATTATAGAGAAATTCTACAAAGATTACTAATTGTGTATGCCCTTGGGAAAGGCACTTTGCCTTCTTGAGCTTTCATTTCCTCTACTAGCATTCCCAAGATTCTACTACCTGCCACCAAAAAGACCCAAGAGTGAAGGTGGAGTGGAAAAACAGATGTTTCATTATATGTTGATATATAGAAGACAAGGAGCTCTGATAACTTGTTGTTGATTGCCTTCAAGTTGAGAATGACTCATAGTGACTCTATGATCTAAAGGCCTGAAGCCCCTCTACAACTATTGACATTTATCAAAGTTTGTAGAGTTTTGTTATTTAGGAAATGGATGTCACTCCTACTTCCAAATCTGTCATGGTATGTTACTGTTGTTATGTGCCATTGAGTAGCCTGTGTTGTATAGCGACCCTATGTACAACAGCTCTGAACCTTTCCCTGTTCTGAGCAAATATCACTAATTCCAACACATTAATCCCCATTGCCCCAGTCACTGTATCAATCCATCTCGTCTGGAGTCTTCCTCTCCTGTGCTATCTGTCCACCCTTCAGAGCATGATGTCCTTCTTCAAGGACTGATCTCTCCTGGCCACATGCCCAGAGTGAGGTGGAGCTTCAAAATCCTAGCCTCCAAGGATAGACCTGGTTTCACCCTCAACAAGATAGACCTATTTGTTTTCTTGGCAGCCAATGGTATGTTCAAGACTCTTCTCTAGCTCTACAACTCGAAGACATCTATTCTTCCACCATCATTAGTCATTATCCAACTCTCTGAAGCATCACAATTAATTGAGAAGACCATGGCCTGGAATAGGCACACTTTTGTATCTAGACTGATGTTATTGCTCTTCAGCACTCTGGAGAGTTCCATGACAGCAGATGATAGCTTAGTTGTATGGAATTGCACTACCAACACAAAGGTACATGGTTCAAATCCACTAGCTACTCAATGGGAAAAGGATGAGGAGTTTTCCCCAATGTGATTTACAGTCCCTGAAAATGCACCAGAGGGTCAGCTATGGATTGGTTCCATGGTATATAACAACAGCAACAACATTTAGCAGACCAGGGATGAGTTTCCCTAGATCTGCCTCCCTGTCTTAGAGATTATATATAGGAGTTTATGTTGATGAGAGATAGGAAAGTGGAATATGAAAGTGTTTGCAGCACCTTATCTTGTCTGAGTGTTTTAGTTGATAGCCAAATCTCAGAGTTGTTTGTCTGATCTTATCAATATTCTGGAGATAGTTGGCACTGTTCACATGTTGTGGCTGAAGAGGAAGAATTTTAGCCACAGATTACAAGAACATGGGGAAATGGAGCAAAAGCGTTGTGGTTTGATAACTCCACTGAACTAAGAGAGAGTCCCTTTCCTTCTGCTTAAGATATGAACAAAAAAGTGCTAGTCTTGCATTTGTTGTTGTTACTATGTGTGTTTTCAGGGGCAGTAAACCGTATGGGAGGAAATTGCCCATCTTTCTCCCAAGGAGTGGCTAGTACATCTGAACCTGAGCCTTTGGGCTGTCAGCACAACTCTTTACCTAGGCCATGTTTTACAGTGGATTGAAACTGTCAACAACGTCATCTTGCTTGGATCCACAATTAACACCTTTGGTACCAGCAGTCACAAAATAAGGAGAAACATGACACTAGGAAAATATGCAGTTGGGGAACTTTCCAAGTTATTGAGGAGTAGTAATGTCACTTTGAGGACCAAGGTGAGTCTGATTCAGGCCATAGTCTTTCTGATTAGTAGCTGTGCATCCAAGACCTGGGCAATGAGTAAAGATTACAGAAAAAGAATTGACACCACAGAGCTGTGGTGTTGGAGAAGAGCCCTGAACATCCTATGGATGTCCAAGAGAATGAACAGATATGTCTTGGAGAGGGTGCAGTCAGAGTGTTCTTTGGAGGCCAGAATGATGAGGCTTTGTCTCCCATACTTTGAACATGTTGCTTGGAGGTGCTATTCCTCAGAGAAGGACATGATATTGGGAAAGGTGGAGGGTCAGCAAAGGAGAGGAAGATCCTCAACCAGGTAGATTGATATGGTGACAGCTACAATAGGTTCTCATGTGTCGGAAGTGTGAGGATCACACAGGATAGAACAGGATTCAGATCTTTTGTTCATAGGGTCTCTATGAGTAGTACTCGACTCAACAGCACCTAACAACAACAACAAGAACATTATTGTTTGTATCTATTAGTTGTAAAAGAGTTCTTTTCTTGGGATATTTTAATCTGTTGGCTATTACTTTACTGTTGGTTGCTTTATTACTTATAACAACGTGAAAAATAATTTCACTAGTACTGCTGTTGTTTGCCATTAAGTCAGAAAAAACCCATAGCTGGCCCTCCAGTGGGTTTCTGAGGTTGTCAATCACATGGGACAAGATTATTTATTTTTCTCCCTTGGAGCAGTTGGTAGATTCGAACATGCCTTATAATGACTCCTGAAAAATATCTTAATACCTGAAAAACATTACAAAACTATTACAATATCTTAAAGTTGTTGTTATGTGCCATCGAAATGACTAAGGCCCACGGCAACCCTATGGCTCTGAACGTTGCCGTATCTTAGCCAACCTCGCTGTCTCTGACATACAAGACCCTATTGCTATAGTCACTGTGTCAATCTCATTCAACATCTCTTTTTCACCAATCCTTTACCCTTCCAAGCATGATGTCTTTTCCCAAGGACTGGCTCCCCTTGGCAATTATCTTTATTATGTTTATTATTCTTCACTAGATATTAAGGGGGAAAGTAGAAAAAACTGACCAAGTTGTATTGGAAAGTAGATATAAATATACACCTCATATTTTACATCAAAATTAAAGCATTTTGTATAAAAACCAACCTAAGAGATGTAAAATACATAAATACATGCATAAGGAGTTCTGGTGGCCGAGTGGTAAGAAGGCAATTCAAATCTATCAGCTCCTCTGTGAGAGAAAGATGGGCATTTGCCTCCCGCACAATTACTGCCTCTGAAAACCCACTGAAGATAGAGTCAGCTATGGATTGGTTCACCTCGATGGCAGAAAAAAATAAATACATACATATGTGCATATATACATGCATACATGTATACATTCATACATGCTTTTCTAGATTCTGGATGAAAGAGAACTTTATAGCAATAAAATTAATATAAGAAATCCTAATAGAAAATGCTTTCTTACATAAATGCAGGGAACATTCTATGTGTCATTAATTTTAAAAAGGAGACATCATTTATAAACTGAAAATAATTGCCAAAAACATCACTTGTTGTTATGTATCATGGAGTTGGAACCAACTCATAACTGACCCTTCAGGGGATTTTAAGAGCCAATAAACCACAAAGAGGAGATTGATCAGTGAGGGTATTTGAAAAGCATAACTATCGGTCGGTAGGGCAATTCCTTACCACTAACCCACCAGTGCTCATTTAATTATTTGAGAAAATAAGGTGGTTTTTAGTCAATAAAACACCTCCAAGTATAACAACTAAACAAAAGAAGAGCATAATTTGCATAAAAATAAGTATAATGGCAAATATATGGTCTTTAAAATACATATAGTACCTTTAGTCATTAGATAAGTTTTTACTTTTTACTTTATTAATGTGAGTATTGGAAAGAAATTTGGTAACATGTCTTATACTTGGAAGTATTCATATCTTTATGCTGTAACTATTTCTCGGAATAGATTCAAGAGAAAACAACTATGACATATACAAATTAAAGTTAAAATATGACAAAAATTTAAAAGAGATTGGTAAAATTTTGTTACATACAAAAATGAAATTAATCAGCTATCTTCTATTTCTGAAGATACTTAAGTGATGTATAAAAATGTTTATTATGTAATAGTGAAGGAAAAATAATTTAAAGTGAACTATATTGGATTTCCACCCCTAAATCTCTGGTGGCATAGTGATAAGGAATCATGCTGCCAACACAAATATACAGAGTTTGAATCCACCAGCTGCTCCCTGAAGAAAGATGAACAATTCACTCTCATGTGATTTATTGTCTCTGAAAACCCGCTGACAGAGGGTCAGCTATCAGTTTCTCCTGACTCATGGTATATAACAACCTATTTTTTCTGTAAATTGGAAAAAAAAAAGACAAAATCATCAAATTTTAATTATGCTTTTATCTTGATAAGTGTAAAACTCATTGCTATGGAGTCAGAACTGACCCATAGCTGTCGCTCTATTGGTTTTTAATACCAATATTAATGTTAATGTTAATATAAATATTAATATTAACTAATACCCCTCTGAGGTTTTTAATACCACTGGGGGAAACTGTCCATCTTTTCCCCGAATTGCTGTTAGTGAATTTCTAATGGCTAGAGAGGATTACAGCACAATTCCCTACGGACCATGTCCTTAGAATGATCATATGCTATTGATAATTTTCTAATTTAAAAGCTTCCCATACTCTACATTTCCTATATTAAACATTACTATTTTAAAAGAGTATTATTCAAACTTAAAATTATGGGGGCTAGATAATAAATATTTTCTATTTGGCTTTGAATCTCTTCAAATTCAAAAATGTTGTTGTTGTTATGTGCCGTCGAGTCGTTTGCGACTCATAGCCACCCTATGTACAACAGCCCTAAACCCTGCTCTATCCTGTGCCAATCTCATTGCCTCCTACACACCCATCCCGATTACCCCAGTCACTGAATCAGTCCATCTCACAGAGGGTCTTCCCCTCCTGCGCTGTCCCTCCACTCTGCCCAGCATGTTGTCCCTCTCCAAAGACCTGTCTCTCCTTACAACATGTCCAAAGTATGTCAGGCGAAGCCCCAGAATCCTTGCCTCCAAGGAGCAGCCTGGTTTAACCCTCCTTAGGATGAATCTATTTGTTTTCTTGGCAGTCCATGGTACATTCAATATTCTTCTCCAGCACCACAGCTCAAAGGCGTCAATTCTCCTTCTATCCTCCCTAATCACTGTCCAACAATCTGATGCATAACA